ACCGTAGTGGTTATATTCGACCAGAGTCTGCCGCACAGCCTAAACATGTCTTGACTCTCAAGAACTCGAACTCCTTGACCGAAGTTCTATCCCAGCTTTGGTCCTCCAGCGGGCCAACCTCCCTCTGGAAGTCCTCCAACTCTACATTCATTTACTCACTTCTCCTGCCCACCTTGAACACTTTCATCCGTAGTCTTCTATCGGCAATCGCTGGCTTGCCAGAAGAGGACATTTCCATGTCGATGACAGCGGACATTCTGACGGCATCATCCCCTCTGGCAACCCTGGTGGTGTCATTCATTTCAACCTCGCTATCCGCCCTGATCCTAGCTCCCATCGACACCGCTCGTACATTCCTGATGCTCACGCCAGCAACCCATGGGCCAAGGTCCCTTGTCCGAGCTATCCGCCAGCTCCCCACGCCCAACTGCACGATCCCCTCGCATCTCGTCCCAATCACGGTGCTTCATTCAAGTCTTCCTACCCTCATTATGACCTCGACACCACTCTTCCTCAAATCGTATCTGTCCATTGACCCCCTCCTAAATCCTAACGCATGGAACATGTGTGCCTTCCTTGTCTCAGGACTTGAACTCGCCGTGCGATTCCCACTCGAGACCGTGCTCCGACGCGCCCAGATCGCTACATACACATCCTTGAGTCTGCGCCAAAAGTACTCAGGCGGTAGCATCAGTACAGCATCTATTGATGCGTCCGATGTGGAAACCATTGTCCCTACCCCGCGAACTTACCGCGGTATCATTGGCACAATGTGGCATGTCGTTTATGAAGAAGGTGTCAGCTCGAAACCGTCCGAGAAGGAGCGCGCCAAGCAGCTCCTCGGCCAGCGTACCTCACAGAAGAAGCGACAGCAAGGCCAGGGTATTCAGGGCCTGTACCGTGGCTGGCGTATTGGCATGTGGGGCATCGCCGGCATCTGGGGAGCCAGTCTGCTGGGCGGAATCGCTGGAGGCAACGAAGACGAGGTGACGACAAGAGGTGGTCACGGCCGTTCTAGCGGTGGACTCTTCTAATTGACGCCGTCGAGCCATGAGGCCTTTGTCTTCGCCTTCCATTTGGAGCCACTATATCGCCACTACCGACCCAATTAATTATCCGTGAAGAGACATCCTCAAGTCTCCGATTTTCTTTCATTTCTCTATCCCTCTTATTTACTGGTCGCGACAATCGATATCTTGAATCTTCCATATTGGCACCCCAAGAAGCATTTCCCTTATCGCGTGCGTCATTGGTCTTCGGTCTCCACTCTCCTCTCATCCCTTTTGTCTATCTTATACCCCAGTGAACGGATCCAGGGGGCAAAGTCAAACGGCGTCATGTTTTTGGTTTAGCAGTCCCCTGTCCTGCAGTGCAAACCGTGTATAAAACCCTCCTTCATAACCACATAGCTATGTAACGAGATACAACGCAGCCCGTCTCACTCCGGCTTGCCGGGCATCTAATTCATTTGATTGATTGCTTATAGAACGGAAATTGTTTAAATTGAACTAGCGCTAAGTTCCACTGCTGTATTATTTGAGGCTACCCGCTTCGTCATTCAACCTGCCTTGAACAGATTCGAACGAGCAAGCTAGGCGCTCCCTTTGGGAAACGGTCTAGTCTAATGAACTAATCAAGTCTCTCCATCTTCTCCAGTCGATCTGCAAGTTGATAGTAAAGACCATTAACCGTCTCAACAACCCGCTTCGCCAATTCTGGCACCCGTCCCACAACAGTCCCAAGCATCACACTCCAACTCAGATCCGGAATGTCATCCTCAACCACACGGCCCGGCGGCAGAGACGGGCTATGGACACTCGCATCACTGTCTAATGGGACACTAAGACGATACTTCCAAACAGCCTCCCCATCCACATACAACGAGTACGTCAGAACCGAGCTGCGAGCGCGAACAGGCGCAGCAGCGCTCAAACCAACATCTTCAACCTCATCCGCGATATCAATAAGCCCGAACTTACTATTCCCGTTCGGCGCGTACTTCACCATAACATCCTCGGAGTCTGTCTGGTGGTATGTACGGATGGGGAGGTAAAACATGCTCAGCGGGCCAACGCTGAACTCATGCAGTCCCAGCCCGGCCGTGTTAGGCAACAGCTGATCTGGGTGGAGTTTCAGTTCCGGGTCTGGGAACCTAGTAGCACCGAATTCATGTCTATCACCGCTAAGCATGACGATTCGGATGCCTAGATCGCGCTCTGCGCGCCACATTGCCTCGAATACGGTGCGGCGCTCGTCCAAGAACCCGCCCCATGTATCTGTGGTGCCGACGTGCCAGTTCTTGGTGAAGGGGACGCTGGAGGAGATGATTTTCCAGTGTGTGCCGGCTGGCTCTGGGGTCGAGATGTACGTGAGGAGAGATTGGAGCTGGGACTGGCCGAGGATGGTTGAGTTCTTGTATGAGGGCTCGGTGCGGTAGGTACGTGTGTCTAGCATGAAGAATGAGGCTGGGCCGTGGGTGAAGGCGAAGTAGGTTACGTTGTCTGGGTCGGCGAAGGGTGCTGCGGGAATGGGTGGGTTTGCTCGCACGTGGTAGTGGATGAAGGGGTCTGCTGCTGCGGGATACGGGGCGGTTGTGTTGCCTTGCGACCAGTCGTTTTCGATCTCGTGGTCATCCAGGGTGTGCAGCCAGGGGAGGTCAATGGCGCGGTTGTCTTCTGGTCCGTGGGTCCAGGAGGGGGATGAGTAGATACGTCTGTACTCGCTACGGTAGTGTGACATTGTTGAGCCGAAGCGCCAGGGAACATCTATGTAGATGAAGTCGCCTAGGAAGAGCATGAATGATGGACGGAATAGCTTGGGCAGTTTGGCGAGGGCGTCGGTCATTTGCTCGAGGCCTGGGACCCGTAGTGGATGCGATAGTAGGTTGTAAGGGAAGTTTGGCTTCAGACAACTTGATGTTACAAATGATAGTCGGCTTGATTCAGAAGTTTCGGGCAATGGCGCCGTGGTAAATGTGCCAGACTTGTTGTTGGATAGCGAGTAGCGATAGTGTGTCGCCGGCTTCAGGTCGGTCAGGGTCACAGTTGTAGTGAAGTCGGTGGAGTCATCCAGCTTGTAAACGATGCCCTCTTCATACCAGTCCTGGCTCAGGTCAGAGACCTCCTGGAACATGACCGCCACTGGTAGGCGAGCCGAATCTGGCTCGCGAAAGACCAAGCTGGCAGTGGTCGGGGAGACATATCCAATACGTGAGAATGCAACATTTGTGGTAGAATAAAGTAGAATACCACGGGTCAAGAAGTCAAGTGTCAGGACCGCCAGGGCTACATTGATTAGAATTGTAATCCTGGTCAGCAGGGGCCACTTTGCAGAGGGCAGCCCTGTCAATAGTGTTTTAAGCACAGAATCGCCATCTTTGGCTCGGCTAGACACGGAGTTATGCCCTGTGAAGCACGTTAGTATCTCATATTATGATCATTTGGAAGTGGAGCCTGACTATTTGAGTCTCGAGCTTTAGTCGTTTGGCTTTCGTGAGGCTGGGTATCCTTGAGCAAGGGGATTATTGACGACAGGTACACCACGAGAGAGGTAACCACGAGGGGCACAAAGTGATGGCCAGGGATCTGTGAATACGTGAGTTTTCTGAAACACAAGGTTGGCCTATGGGAGCCTTATACCCATCGTAGAAATATGAAGCTCGTTAGTCGGATGATCGTCGAGCTCGTGGCTACAGCAATACGCCGTAGGGAGGCCATTATGGAAGGCAATATGACCAAATGTCAAGAGTGAAGATCACTTCATGCTAAATGGAAACAATGGAAACAATGGAGATGGTGAAGGGTCGAAGGTTGTCTTGGTGATTTCCTAAGGTGATGACGTATCCAGGGACCAGATCGGCAATCGTATTGGTTGATATTGAAAATCAACTCCCCGTGAATTGTATAGATGAATTGTATGAATTGTACAATTGATGTTATTGCCTGACTAGAAATCAATTTAATTACATTGGTAGTACCTATAATTTAGGTAAAAGCTGAGGCTCTAGTAACGCTCACGTGCAGTAGTCTCTATTTAAAGCACAATCTCATGAAGTCGACGTATGCCCTACTCTAAAATACCTACAATATCCAAATCGCTCGTACATCTCGTAGAGAAAGTCTAGCGATACAAACCACTTTGTTATCATCTTTCCATCCGTCTTTTTTGATGTCTTTCCTGGGGTCTTTTAGAATAACCGCTAACTATCCCCGAGTAGGGGACCTCTCTGGGCTTTTAAGAGACTGCATACTTTTATTTATGAATGTTGATTCATGGCAACCGGTTAACTGAACCCAAAAACTCACGTATGTACCGATGTACTATGTAGATCGCTCCTGCTGGTGTGTACGATTACATATGTAGTTCCCTGTTTCAGAATATTCATAATGTTTGATTATCGTAGGGCATATATGATGTGTTTGGCCGCTTTCACTACTTCCTTATGCAGTTCATAGACCTCCTCTGGCATCTCTTTCTCTCGTTCTCTCCTCTCTCCTCTCGCAGGCAGCTTGCTGTGTTGGCAGACTCTTTATTCCGCCCACAGAGATCTTTCTTCTAGATTCCAGAGGATAGGATCTCTGTAGCTTTATTCGTCTAAAGCTATTTAGAGAGCTTCATGGCAGTAGCTAGATCTTCATCTTCCATCGATCTGACACATTCATCATCATATTTTGGATGATCACTTCTCTTCTTCCACGTATCTGATACGTGTATTTCGCAAAATGGCCCCGAAACCACTATCCCCCGGACTCTCTCATTACTCACCGAAACACCGAAACACCGTCATGAAGCTCAGCATCAGCTTCAATATCAGCAGATGCACCACTCACCTCTCTTGACAATACCATTCGGCTTCAAGTCTCGATGCATTGGAGTCAACACTGGCTTTCTTTATTCCTGAAAGACATAGCCACAATGCGGACAATGAATTTAGTCCTGGCTTTTATACCACGGACTCGCTGATGTACGTAATTGAATATGTTCAGCTTGGAGGCGTGATCATGGCCTTTAAAGACCTGGACTTATATAGCACCAAGCTTTGGGAGCTAAATTCCCAATCTTGCAATGCTTGGATCGCGAAGTGGAAGCATCTCCCACTAGAGATTGCGCAACAGCCAATCCCAGCGGAGTATGGCACTGCGGACTTCATCAAGGGCCCAATTCCTGGCGAGCCGCAAACGGGACGTGGGGTCCCTCCACAGTCGGAAGATGACCAGCTGGTTGCCTGCAGCTACAGGGTTGCCTGCAGCTACAGAGGATTGAAGACATTATCTGATTCGCTCGATATGCTAATCTTCGTCGCGCGGATGTAGCGGGCTTGGTTGGTTGGTTGGTTCTCTTTTGGTTTTTGACATTCGTTTATGTTTCAGAAAGTTGCTCCTTATTGCTATACAATGATGTCTGTTATTGCACCTTGCAGCTTTGGCACGTCTTGTATTAAACATAGGATCGTCCATTTCTATGAAATTGTTTCTTAAATCAGATTGATCGAAACTCAAGCCGTTGTCTTCCATTCTTCAAATCCAGGTGCAACTACCGAAGGCTCATGCGACCGGCCGTGCTGTTCGGCTTCTAACTCAGTTTCCCCATTGCCTACTGCCTTTCCCCGAGCGCCAGCACGGCCGCCAGCACGACTGCCAGCATGACCGCCAGCATGACCGCCCTTTGAAGCGATAGCGTGCTGTTTACTCGCATTATACATTTAACGAAAAGATCTCTTTCCTGCTTGATGTTGTGGCACTCACCTGTTTCTCTGGATCCATATTATGGAACCCACCCACGCCGGTAGCTTTCCCGCCCTTTTTCCCACCCTTGTGGCCTATTTCTGAAAGCTCTTGCTTAGGACGATTCGAAAAATTCCCAGGGTTAGGATGGTGTGGATGATTGGATGCTGTGGCGACACTGCAGCGATGCCACAATCCAACATTGACAGACTGTGCAGATGGAAGCAGCCTAAGAAGCGGACGTGACATGATCCGAGTACTGCTGGTAAAAGCCATCATGTTATTGAGTGTTGAAGTTGATACCGGAACTTAGAAGTATATGCTGCTCCGCAAGAAGATATTGCTTCGCCACAAGGTTGGTTTGATGGGCATGTCCCACAACTTATGTAGTCTTCAGGAACTGCTATTTTGCCTCATCAGCTCATCGAAGGCGATAGTAGCTTGTCTATACGACATTCCCTTCGAAATATGCTGGTTCATTTTCTATCTTCTCGTGAGATAGACATGTCATTCGTGTATGTCTGGAAGAAGTCCACATTGAGATACACTTTGTTCCTGGTTGTTCTTTTCAATTTGCTGGAGGACTAATCCGGCATTACGATTTGATGTCATTCTTCAGCTCTTCCCAACGAGCCGAGTCCAACACCATGGATATAGGGATCAGCGTCCATGGTTCTAGTATTGAGGCGGTAATCCAGGCCCGTGTGAGGTGAGGACGAGAAAGAATCAAAATGCCCTAGAAAGTCCCGTCCAATTCAAACTATATAGTTATAGTTATTCAGCCTACTTTATCCTAAATAAATAACCATAGTCCTTGTAAAGCGCTACCCAGGTTGTAGCCTTACCCAAAAATGGATCTTCCATTCAGCTTAGTCAGTGAGTATTTGGGTTTATCGTGCGCAGGTGTTCAGTCCGATCTACTACTTTGTGTTGCAGCGATATTCCCCGGCGGATTCTATACATGAGTTAAAATTTGCCGTTGCATAGATCTAGAGTTCATTAATGATTTACTTCTCTGTGGTCATTTCTCTCGGACGCTAGGGGCCCGAACCCCCACAGCTACCAACCGCCAAAGCTCAAGCTTGTCATCAGCTCCCACAAGGCGAAGTTTATGGAATACTTTCCTAAAAATTACACGTAGCTGGATATTTAATATCTTGCTCTCTTCAAAATGCCACCGATCCGAGGTGGACTCGGCGAGCGTCCGCGGGTGATCTTGTACCACCAAACACTCATCCCAGGCGGGGGTCAGTATGTCTCCATGCTCCCGCTCCTCGAAAACAACACCGGAATAACACATGTTATTCTCGCCGCTTTTCACTTGAACGCTGTACCAGGGGACATCACTCTCAACGATGATCCACCAGACAACCCCAAATTCGACCCCCTCTGGGCCGAAGTGCCCGTTGTGCAGCGGCAAGGCGTGAAAGTGATGGGCATGCTAGGCGGGGCCGCCCCGGGCACCTTCACGCGGCTTGACGGCAGCCGGATGGAATTTGAAGAATTTTATTATCCTTTCCTGACCATGATTCGCCGCCATGGCCTTGATGGAATTGATCTCGATGTGGAAGAGGCCATGTCTTTGCAAGGCATCGTCCGACTCATCGACCGACTCAAGGCTGACCTGGGCGACGCATTCATCATTACCCTGGCCCCTGTGGCAGCTGCATTAATTGGTATCGGGAACCTATCAGGGTTCGACTACCGTGAACTCGAGCAGGCTCGTGCTTCTCAGATCAGCTGGTACAATACCCAGTTCTACAATGGCTGGGGTCTTGCTGAGGATCCACGGATGTACGCTACTATGGTTGCCCAGGGGTGGTCCCCGCGACGGATTGTCTATGGCCTGTTGACAAACCCGGGCAATGGATCGCAGGGTTATGTGTCTCAGGAGAGGATGGGACCTGTTCTGGCAGTGTTGATTGAGCAGTTTCCCAACTTTGGTGGCGTTATGGGTTGGGAGTATTACAATGCTCTGCCTGGGGGCACAGCGGAACCGTGGCAGTGGGCTGCGGAGATGACATTGACCATGGGTATGAAAGATCTTGTCGTGGCAGCTCGCCAGTTAATGTCGGCAGGGCCGATGGCGAGCAGTCTCAATGCTTTGTTTCAAGATATGCTAAATCAGGGACGTCAATGAAGCACAATGAATATCTAGCATTTCAGACAAATATGATATAGTTGAATTTCAACTGTTGTCAAGATTAGATTCGTTTTCAAGTGGTTTTGCCTGCATAAAGTCTGCACGTGAGTGTCCAGTTAACTGCAACGTGGCTTAGTCAGGTGACCAGACCCCCTAGCTAGCTTGAGGTAGATCATAGGATCATCTTACAATCATCAACTTCTACTATTATGTACGTATAAATTCATCCATGGGTATATGTACCCGTCCGTAGACGGAAATAGATGATCCACGACTATATGAAGTATAGGTTCCCCTTCAGAAAAGAATGAATATGAAACATGAGAGCAGAGAAGTAAAGGAGTACAAATGTCCGCTAGACCTAAAAAGGCAGATAAACATTGCTGCCTCAGGCGCCCCAATACAAACCGTCGCGAGATTCTTCAGTCTCCCCTTTTCTCCCCGGAATGTGGTTATTGTTATTTCTCTATTTACTCGGTTAATATTCTTTTTGGCAGGTCTCGAGTGCAACCCTGGGGATTGTATTTGACCTCTGAATTGGCAGAGCTTATCGTTGCCGGTTGCCCTCCTCTTTGCGCATCCGCACGCGTGCGCAACTATGGCCAACACAGGCTATACCTCGCCATTTCCAACCTCGCATGACACCATTGGACAGTCAACATTGGTGACGCCTCTCTTCATGCCATCCTCTCCTCCTCAGCATCCTTCTAGCCCATTGAGATCTCCGTCCCCCGCCCAAACTCCTGCAACCGCCCAGACTCCTTCAACCGAGCGCGTCGCAGCGAAACGTAGCGACCAAGGTCGTGGCCAGGCTCGTGACTATGGATACCATTCGGATAATGAAATGCAACATCGCTCTCGCCCCGCCTCTCCTGGAAGCCCGACAGGCTCAGATCTCGATGCGCGTCTTGCCGATTACACCTTGGATTTCAGCAACTTCCCGAGCGGCCATTTTCCTATGGATGGGAACGACGAGACTCTGCCCCCTTTCCATCAAGATGTAGATAAATTATCCGATGTTGGAGGCCCCGAGGACTTTACTGCGAATATGGAGAAATACCTGATGGGCGATGAGGATGCAGCGAACCACGAGGAGGAGGAAGATGAAGCTGAAGTAGACTACGGATCAGTACGACGATCTTTCCGGAAGTCGAAGCAACCCGTCATCGAAGACGAAGCCGACTCTGGGGAGTACAGTGAATTCGGACCGCCAGTGGATATGTCGACTCCTTCACACCTGCTGCACCGGACTAGCGCTATCCGCAAAGATTCAACCCACCTGGAAGGTATTGAAGAATACCCCGACGATGACGAGGCCCAGGATTCTGCATCCCCTTCCGTCCGAAAATTGTCGGATGCCTCCAGTAATGCACCAGAGGAGCAGAATGAGGATCTTCACCAGCAGATCGCACGTATGGAACACGCCATGAATGAATGCGACAACCAATTGCTGAAAAATCGCAGTCGTATTCTCGAGGCTGTTTCTGCTAGTGAGCAGATCCGTCATCTCCAGACGGAATTGCAGCAGAAGAATGCTCTCTTGGACGAGATGAATGCCAAAAGTAGCGACGAGGCAATGCTACGCGAGCAAGTCCAGTCGCTTCAAAAGACGAATGAAGAGCATGAGAAGCTATTGCGCCAGTCCAGCATGAATACAACGGATCTCAATCCTCTTTTGCACCAGATTCGTGAGATGCAACAGCAACTCCAAAACAGAGACGCACAGACTCCTTTGGACAAGGAGCGATTGGAGACAATTGCTCACCTGCGCCAACAACTTAATATTTCTCAAGAGCAAGTGCGAAAGCGCGATGAAACTCTAGATGAGACATTCACTAAGCTCAAGGAAGTCACACGGGCTAAGGATGCACAAATACAGGAGAAAAACTCGGAGATTGATCAACTCCAAGCACAGATCGATGATTATGGACTGGAGAATGAGAAGCTCGAGTCGGAATTAGAGCGTGCGCATAATGATTTCCAGGTTCTCGAGGAACGCTATATCGACCTGGAAGTTAGAAGTCGACCTCTAGAGGAAAAGAACATCACACTGGAAGAGAATCTTAGCCGTGTTCAAACCCATATGGAAGCCCAGGAGAGTGCTCTCAAAGCTGCTGCTGCAGATCTGCCTGTCAGTGGCCACAGCACCTACAGCGAGATTCTCGATCTGATCAAAGATTTGGGCCCAGGGGATCCCGCATCCCCACTTCACTCGCCATTGAAGGACAAGTTCGTGGACACCCAAGGCGTGCAGCAACCGCAACAGCCAGACATGCCAAGCATTGCAAGCCTTCAGCAAGAACTCCGGGAGTTATCCGCCGCACAGAAAGCTGCAGATACCGAAGCAGCACGTCTGCGTGATCAGGCGACTGAAGCTCAGACCCTCATCAAAACCATCGAAACAGAGAACTCACGACTCTCCAACCGAGTAAGCGAGCTCACAACAGCCCTAACCAAGTCCCAGCACGATCTACTCCAGTCGCAAGAACAGCACGCTGAGTCCCTCGAGACCATCGCCCGCTTGCAAGAAGACAAGGTCGTCGAACCTCCTAGTCCACCCCCTTCACCCCCAACAGCACGCGAAGCTCTCAACCCAGAGCCAAGAGGACCGGACACCGCAGCCCTAGAGGCGAACCACCAAAGCCAACTCCGCAGCCTGCACACCGCACACTCAACGGCAGTCTCAACACTGCGCGCTTCGCACGCCGAGTCAATGCGCAAAATCCGCAACCTCCTCGTAGCCGCCGAGCAACGCGAAGCCGATTTACGCTCGGAACTTGCAACCCTCCGCGCCTCATCTACAACCTCTGAAAACCACCTACGCAAGAGCTTTAAAATAGAACTCCGCCGCCTGGAAGACATCATCGCCGGAAAGGACGAAACCGCCGCCGCGATGGACCAGCGCATCGCTCTGTCTGTGGACAAGCGCGAGCGCGAGTGGGAGCGGCGCATCGACCTGCTCCTCAAGGAGCGAGATCGCATGGCCAAGGCTTTGATGATGAGCTGGGGCGAGAATGAGCTGGGTCGGGGTCCGGGGTCTTTGGCTGAGAGTCACGGCAAGGAGAGCCGACGTCGTGATCGAGACCGTGATGTGGAAACCAAGAGTGGGCAGGCTTATCGCTACAAGTATGCT